TTTTTTTTTTTTTTTTTTTTTTTTTTTTTTTTTTTTTTTTTTTTTTTTTTTTTTTTTTTTTTTTTTTTTTTTTTGTGATTTCATATCATATATCATTATAATTGCGTATTGGATAATCAAACAACCTGTTTACACGACAAAATTCAATTGAAATTGGAAAAGTTAGGCAATTTTATCGGGGCTATCTTGAAATAATAAAATTTAATATTGTGAAATGTCTGTTTCTTTTATCACCTTAACTTGAAACTGATATTGAAAAGAGTTCAGTTCTTATTGCTCTATTTCTGATTTTCGTATGTATATTTTGGTTTAATTTGTTTTTATAATTCATTTCATGTATGTTATATAGGTTCCAAAGAACCCTGATCTGGGTCCTGAAGGAGCAGTTTTTCAAAAAGAGGAACAGGAAAAAATCGATGATGCTGAACCTCTTACTGAAGAAGAAGTTGCAGAAAAGGAAAGATTGCTCAATGAGGTAAACCTCTCATTCCCCCCTCCCCCCTTTTTTTCTGTTTGAATTTTAAATGATAAAATGTTATTTATAGTTTTTCCATTTCAGAGAAAATTCTAAATTCCTTACGCATTAGCATAATAGAATTAAAACCTTTTTTTTTTTTTTTCAAATACTTTTCTCTGTGCCCCCTTTATGTCACAAAATATTTTTGATTACCCAAAAAAATAATTTTCTTTTTTTTTCCCTGAATAGAAAATATTTAGAACTTAATGTCTTAAACATAGTCTTAATATCCTTTTTTTTTTGTTTATAATTTTTATGAACAATTTCTGGAAGTTCACTAAAAAAAAATGATTTTCTGACAGAATGGGAAAAAAAAAGTGGCCTGAATCCATTTCTAAATCAGGTGTGATGTAGATAAGAATAACCACCCATAAAATTAAAAGAACTTACTAATGTAATTAATCTAAATGGTAGCAATATTTATAAAAACGTAGTTAATAAAGACAATAATCTTGGAGTGTTCTGTAACAGGGAAGAATCAAAAATATTTTGCATCGGAAGATGTATTAGTAGAGAAAGATGAGAAACAGAACATAAAATGTAATGAAGAATTAAAGATATTGGCATTTTTTCTAGTAAAGTAATTTTATACAAGTTTTAAAATATCTGTACAGATATAAATGTGGCTGAATTTTTAAAATTATTCTATTTTCAATTAAGATTCTGCAAAATTTTTAGCATCATTCATGATATCAAGATTGGACTTATATTAACATTTAATTAAATTAATAATATTCATAGGGAAAAGATGCTTTGTCAACTGACTAATATCTCAAATTTATTGTTCATTCATTCGAAATAATTTTAACAATTTTTAATTTTGACTGCTTTGATTGCTAATGAGTAAAATTAAAATTCTGTTAATGTAGGCAATGAATTTGTCTGAAGATTAGTTTAAATAATTTTAATGTTAAATATATTTTTATAACTGTGTGTTAATAAATTGTGTTATCATATAGGGTTTCACATCCTGGTCTAGAAGAGATTTCAATCAGTTCATCAAAGCAAATGAAAAGTATGGCCGTGATGACATTGACAGCATTGCTAAAGAAGTGGAAGGAAAAACTCCAGAGGAGGTGGGGGGTTTTTTTTTTTTTTTTTTTTTTTTTTGTCCCTTTAACCTCATTTAATTTACTGAGTAGTGATAGATTTGATCTATCTTTTTGTTTCTTTTTTTTTTTCTTCAATGTAACTTTTTAAATACTTGTTTTCTGAAATAGTAGCTTATAGGACTGGGCGATAAATAGATTTAACGCTTATATCGGCAATTCGATATAGTTACTTTCGTTTTAAGCGAGGCATCTGAAATCTGATTTAAGCCACTGATAATGACTTTCGTTTTAAGCGCTGCATCTGAAATCTGATTTAAGCCTCTGATAATTACTCATTTTAGGCTAAGCATCAAAAATCTGATTATAAGACAACACTCACTGTTTAACATGAGATGATCCTTGCATAGGCTAGCGCTGCCACCACTCTGACAAAGACTATGTTATTTCGTCTAGCTACAAAGTCTATGTTATTTCGTGATGTTGAATGACGAAAAGCAAATTTATTCATAATTCCCGATTTCAGAGCGAGGATCAGCATTGAAATATAGAACGCTATGCATTGTTTCTTTATGTGCCATTTTTGTCTTGGGGATTTCACGTTTCTTGGAGATTATTTTCAGCAGGACTTGCATTATTTTGCGGTCGCAGTGCATTTTATTTCGTCAGGATTTAAAGTTTCTGGTAAATTATTTTCAGTGAGACTTTTGCTACTTACCGATTGTTACGTTGTAAATTATTTCATGTCTTTTTTTTGTTGGAATTTAGCGATTATTGTCAATTATTTTTAGTAGACCTACTGCTACTTTGCTATCTCTGTCTTCTTAAATTTTCGTGACTAAATCTATTAATGAAAAGAAAATTAAGTTAAAAAAAAAGGTACTTCATTGATATTTTTAATTATTGTTTTTCATTTTAAGTGATTCAATTGAATAAGGGTATTTTGCATTTAACCTTGTTATAAAAAGTTAGTTATTTTTTAAATTTATTTAATGCGCGTAAGTATAATAATTTGATAGAACTAGATTATTTTTAATACAATAAATCTTCAGACCGTTTTTAATTATAGAAAAATTAAAACAAGGCTTAACATTTAATTTGCTTTTATTTTTGAGAAAATAAAAAAAGAAAGTTTTTTTTTCCCAAAATTTAGCTATTAGTTTAAAAATAATAATCTTTTTTTACTAAATAAAGTTAAGCAATGCTTTGACGCATTTTAATAATTGATCAATATTACTTACAGTTTGTTTGTTGTTTTTAATTTTTCTTAAAATTCTTTCAATACTTGTTTGTTTCATAATTTGTTAGATAGTATCATTTTTAAACAAAGTAGATTTTATTTTCAAAAAAGAAATTAATAACAAATAAATAAATAACTTAAATTTATTTTTACATTTATTAAGAATAGAATTTGACCATTAGTTAATACAACTTTATTATTTTAAATAAATGAATAAAAGGTCTAATGATGTTTCAGAAGCCCAGTTTTTTTCAACAAATTTAAAAAATGTTTTACTCAAGTGAATATTTCTTCGATCTGTTTTTTACTTTCATTTTTTTTTTTTTTTTTTTTTTGCATGTCNTTTTTTTTTTTTTTTTTTTTTTTTTTTTTTTTTTTTTTTAATTAAATGTTAATGCATGTATGTAAAATATTTTGTTACAGTTTTAGTATTATTTTTAAACCAATAAATCTTAAGTCATTTTTAATTTTAAAAAAAAAATTAAAATAAAGCTTGTGTTTGTTTTTACTTCAAGACATCTTGAACATATGTTAAATCGCAGGCGGTGTATCACGATATAGAATCTCTTACTTACCCCAGTCCTAGTTGCTGGTTTATTTACACCAAAAATATTCTTTCTTTTCTTTTTAATTTAAAATATTTTACAAGAAAAGATATATGTTATGTCAGTACATAGTATCTATAGTTTAAACTATTTTTTTTTTATAATCCTTATTTTAATCTTCAGTAATCAGTATAAACCTGAGAGTAAAGGCAGAATATATCAGTTAGTGTATTTTTCTTTAGAACCAGTGAATACTATTGAGAATATTTTGAAAAAAGAGACTTGACAGCTCTATATTGTTATTCATATTTAGTTAAGAAAAACCATATTTATCCTCTACATACAATGAATGATTTTAAAAAATGCATGAAATTGACAATTTGTTTTTCTAATTTTCATTTTAAAGGTCATAGAGTATTCTCAAGTGTTTTGGGAACGGTGTCATGAATTGCAAGATATCGAAAGGATAATGGCTCAAATTGAACGAGGAGAAGCTCGTATTCAACGAAGAGCCAGCATTAAAAAAGCTTTGGATGCTAAGGTAAACTTTTTAGCAGTTTTAAAAATAAAATATAAATTTGTACTTGAGTTATCTTTTTTTTTTTCAATTAATAAATTAAACATATTTAATGGCCTTTAGATTTATATAAATTTTATCAAAATACTGTCGTGACTATTTAAGGGATAATTTAAATATATCCAATAGATAAAATTTATATTAAACAAAACCCAAGTTCGGTCAGATTAGGATTGAAGCAATGTGTCTAAGAAACTAGAGAAGACAATCAATAACCATTAAATTAAGAAAAATACAATTTTATTTAATAAGATATTAGCTATTATTAATAACACGAATATAGTATATTTACCAGGAGGTATTAAAAATGAGGTGAGGCAATGAGGAGGAGGCCTAGAAAATTGACAAGAGAAAAACAATATTTAAAACATATTCTCACCATCTTCTGCGGGGGGGGGGGCTGTCTTCCTTCTCGCCTTTTTGGTCAACAGTTAGTTGTCGCCTTCCATTCGTCTTCACTCTTTTTTTCTCGTCCTCAGGAAACCTCGGTCCCCTTTCCATTGGTTGGGGTCCTTCTCCAACGAGGGTGCTAGCTAGATCCCCACCCGCAGATTATTGGCTAAGAAACCTAAAAGAAATCAAGACCGACAGGCTCCCGATTGCCCCTGCTGCTCGACTACCTGGCGACTGCTCAGGCCTCCCTCCTTTACAATAAATCTTCTTCTAATTGCCTATGTCACTACTACAAATACTTCTCAGAATTAAATTTAAAATCCTGATAAAAAATATTCTTTCCTGATTTTTATTGTTTTGTCCCAATATTCCTTTTTTTTTTTTTTTTTTTTGATTTTANTTAAGGTTCAGAACAGAACATTTTTATGAACGCAATTTTAAAATAGTCATTTAGATTTTTTAGAAAGTTTCTTTCAGGAGAAAAAAAACTTACAAAACTAGTATGTTCTTATTGAAAAGGTGAAATCTGGAAAAGTGTTTCAATTTAAGGAGAATCTGCTTGAAAAACAGAGCTTCTTCGTTCTCTTTTCCTCAAGAAGAAGAGTTAATTAAGAGTCATATAATTTGCAATTTGTAGATGAGATAAGCAAATCTTGTAAGATGTTTCAAAAATTTGAAATCATTTTTTTGTACTCTTTATTTGAAACATATTTAAAATTTATTAATCATAAAATGTTTAGTTGCACTTGAAATTAGAAAAACATGTTAATAAAATATATTAGGTTGTAGCTAAAAATTTACTATATGAAAAGTATTTTTTAATTTATATTTATTGTTAAATTTATAATTTGAAAAATATATTTCTGAAATTATGTGTGTATACTCTATGCATATTAACTTCATATTATATAATATGAAGTTACTAATCATGTAGATGTTTGTATTACTTTATTTAATTAAAAATAATTTATGTAAACCTATAGTTATTAACTTTTTATATCATTCTAGATTTTTGCCAAAGCATGTATTTAAGTAAAAAGTAGTTTTTTTAGGGGGGTTCCATGGTAAATGGCGAACTTTTTCATAGTATCAATGTTTTTACCAAAAACATTAAAAGTTGATGAAATTTAGAAACAAAATGATGTTCTGTTTTGTTATTATTACATTAAATATATTGATTGAATATATATTTTGTTGGCTCGAAATTTGAAAATTTCTTATTTTTCCCTCTTAGATGGCTCGCTATCGAGCACCATTCCATCAGTTAAGAATAGCGTATGGAACTAACAAAGGGAAGAATTACACGGAAGAGGAAGATCGTTTTCTTGTCTGCATGCTGCATAAGCTGGGCTTTGACAAAGAAAATGCTTACGATGAACTAAGATCAGAAATTCGCAAAGCACCTCAGTTCAGATTTGATTGGTTCATAAAATCTCGGACTGCTGCTGTATGTGTATTGTTTTATTACCACTATCCAACATTAAGTTGTAATTAGATATATTCCAGTTAAATGTATATTAAACAAACCATTAATTCAGTGTTACCACTTTTCTCTAGGAGTTGCAACGACGCTGCAATACCTTGATTACTTTAATTGAAAGAGAAAATCAAGAATTGGAAGAAAAAGAAAAGGCTGAAAGAAAGAAGAGAGGACCAAAGCCTGGCATTCCAAAAGTATGTTTATTTTAATTGATGAAACCTTAGCCAGTTTAATCTTTAACTAAATATAACATAGCTTTAAAAAAAATTATTACCCTAGTGGAAAGATGGCAAACTTTTTTCAAACAGTTAGACAGCTAATTTATTATTTTCAGGTGTCCAGTGTGTCATTTGTCATGTATCTTTAAAAAAGAAACTGATAGCCATTGAAAACTAAATCATGTTAATATTATTGCTGTAATTAGTCATTAATTTACTTAAAATTTAAAATAAGAAAATTTATTACAATCGATTATATAGAATTCTTAAATGAAAACATCTGTTCACATCATTGAACAAATTTAATGTATTAAAAAAAGTATTCATAATTTTTAATACAGTTGGATTTTTAACTTGTATTCACATGCTTTCGAAAAATAAAAAAAAAGACCAGTCGCCCTTATGACATGAACTTTCAAAGTAGAGGGGGCAGTAGCCCCTTGTGCCCAGGGTAATATTAAAATTCTAATTCTGAATCCACTGAACTGTGAGTGTGATTAAATGAAAATAATTTTTTTTTAAATTTTATAATGACCCTTGAACAACCGATCCGATTTCGGGTTTACGATTCAACTTGTAATTTTGAACCCAATCCAGAAGACGAAGAAAAAGTTTTCTTTGTATTTCATAGAACTTTTAAATCAGGCCCCTAACTCTCTTCATGCAGTAGCGGCCTCTTTCTGCTGCTGTAGAGCTTACTGGAATTACCAAACAGGGCCCTCATTGAACATTTGCCACCAAATGCAATAAAAATTGTGTTATAGTGAAACAAATTCTGTTTTGCTGAAAGATTCGATTCAAACAATTTCCTGGCTGATAACTGCCCCGAAAATATTTGTACTCCGGACGCTCAGCAAAAATGTCAGTTTTACCTGTAAAATAATCCCAGCAGTTATTTTCATCATTTCAATCCGATGACATTACATATTTTATAACAGTCGCTGAACATCCAAACAGTTTTTTGGGTTTACAACTACTAATGTTTCAACTCCATAGCCTTGTAATTTTGAACCCAGGGAATCCTGGATCAAGTATTGGGAAAATCTTGCCTTATTTTTTTTTAACTAACCCGCATTTGCATTACATTGGGAAAAAACCACTTAAACCTCTCATGGTTTTCCTTACATGATCAGTCTACCACTGAGCATATTTTATGTTGGCACTGTGTGCGGTGCGAACTGGATGCGAAATTCGTACTGACCAGCCATTGCTGGGATTCAAATTCAGTTCACCTCATTGGAACGTGAGCACTCTATCCCCTGAGCCACCACGACTCTAATAAAAGTAATTTAAAGTTAACTCTACATGATACTGATACATGTGTCGCATGCCATGGGTTCGACAGCTCTGCACTAGTACCTCACTCATTCTCTTTGTCTTGTTTAATATCCTTCCTTTAAAATTCTTAAGTCATCTTTCTTGCTATCTTTACCTATTCAGCACATAATAGTAAAATTGATTGCTCTAGGACAACAGTAACTATTTCCAATGTGAATACGTATAGATTATTTGGCACAGGTTTTATGGGCACCTAAACTTCATGCCAAGCCTTTTCCAAAATTATTGTTTATCTTTTTTCCCAAAATCTCAAGTTAAATTAGTTTGATGCTTTGTTTTGTTCTTCAAATCACTAATATTTATTAAGTATGAAGAAATCTTACCCAAAAAATTGTGAAACATTACAAATGCATGTTTATAAACTTGATTACATTCCATTTTATTTGTTTGTTTGTTTTTTATTATTATTATAACAGATTTTTTTTCTAATTCAATAATTTGTTTTGCAGGGTCCTCAAAAAAGAAAATCCGATGGAATACCTGATGGAAGAGGTCGTAAGAAAAAGAAGTAAAGCTCCCGGGTGGAATTTTATGTTATGATTTTAAAAAATTAAATGAACTTTTTTGTTTTACCCTTTAAAAAAATGGTTGCAAAATTATCTTGGTCTTGTTTTCTGTATGTGCATCCCCTAAGTTATATAATTTTATCATTTGGCCGAGGAAATCTAGCAATTCTTTTTTTATTTTAATATCATGTAGCAAATCATTGGATTATTCATTGTACAGTTTGATACTAAGTTTATTTTATGTGTTATTAATAAAATGTACATTTTAAATTCAATCATGGTGTCTTTATTTATATATTCATTTTCTTTTCCAAGAAAAGTAAATTTTTACCATACTTTTTACTTAGATTGGCATTTAATAACATTTTTATTCCATTTAATTGTAACATGATTCCCATAGGATCGTAGAAATCAGAAATTGTCACAGAAACCTGGTAGTTTAATTGGCAAGGGAAATTAAGTAATTTTAGACAAACCCTGGAAAAGTCTTGCATACCTGCCATGTCTCCTGTTTTTTAACGAAAACTCCCATATTTTGCAACTATCTTCCATTTACCCATATATTCTCAAATTTCTCTAAATTTTTTCTTGTGATAAAATATCTGCTAATGGCAAAAATACTTCAGGAATTTTTATCGGGGATTTTTTTTTTTTGTTGGAGAAGACAGAAATTAATATAAAAACCTGGAAAAATCAGGGAATTTTAAAGAAAAACTGGAATTTTTTTTCTTAATTTATATTGCTATACCATCCGTTATACCCATTTTTTTAAGACTGAAGTTTATCACCAAATAGTTAAAATATCATCAACTTGGCGATTAAAATTTGAATGCATATGAAATTTTCCCGTGATTGCTAAATGAATGGAGAAACTTTTGACCTCTTTGGTGACTATGCAGTTTAGGAACAGCAAAGATTGTAATGGAGGTAAAAGAAGAGGTTGGTATATTTACTTCTGTTTATAAAAGTATGTTGTTTTTTTCTCCTAGTCTATTTGGGACTTTTTTTCTTTCTTTTTTTTTAAAAAAAGATTTCGGTATTTTTAACTTTATAAAATTCTCCAAAAATTTGCTGGTTTTAATTAAATGATATATTTTATATTGCACTTTCTCCTGAAAACTTTTGTGTTCCCATCTAATGAAATAGATGAATAATTTTCTCTCAGCAAAGCCAACCACTCTCTAATAGCAATGTTTATCGACAAATTGTTGCAGTGATGCTAATTTTCTCGATTTCATTTTAACTTTTTTTATAACATATTTTGAGAAAGGTTCTTTTATTAACCAACTGCATGTTAACATTTAATTTTATTGTTTTGTTGGTAAATATTTGATTTAAAATTCGAATTATGTAGGAATTACAATGCCGATAGTTTATAATTGTTTCTTGCAGTCCAGAGATAATATTTCTAAAACTTTCTCCTTTTACCCAAAAAAGCTGGTAAAAACTGAGGAATGTATGGGAAACATGTTAAATGATGTATCAACATAGAATATAAAAAATTTTTACTTGTGTTTATTAGGAAGAAGAAAAACGAAACTTTTTTTTCGTTCTGCACTAAACAGGTTTCTAGTTTGGCGGTCAACCGGATGACCAAAAATTTTTAACTTAATATTTTTAAGCTAACAAGGTAAAAAAACTGAAGATTTAGAAGTAATGACTTTTAACCTATAAATATCAGTTTTCATTAAGTTAATGGCTATTAAAGGAAGAGTTGCATCATTTGAAAATATTAACCCTGGTAAGTGAATCTAATAAGGAAAGTTGTTTTTGAAAAAATTCACACTAATAATAGAAAATGAAATAATTAAAATAAACTATAACAAAACAGGTTATCTTGCACCTGTGAAACATTTCATTTTCATTTTTAAAAAAAATTCTCAGGATACACTTTTACATTTGACACAAAAATGCAAATACTGTGCCACTAGGATTCAAGGTAATTATTTGTTCTGTTAAGCAAGATTCTAAATCTCATTTGTATAGTTTAGTTTGATTTTGAAAATAATATTTTTATTGTAAATTAATTATTTTTTCGTCAAACACCACAGCTTTTGTTTGCATTACAAATGCACAAGGTATATCAATAAAAACCATTTAAATATTCTCTTGGGTTAATTTACAATTATGTATTTAAACTTAGTAGCCTAATAAAATCTGCTTAGTTGTGATCGACTTTAAAGATATTTGTATTAAAACTTAAAATTGATAAATAAAAAGTTATATATTTTATTATTTTTTTGTGAAAAGCAACTTAGGCCCACATTCAAAAACCGTTCTTGAGTTTAGGCACATGATTGTACTTAAGTTGGCTCAAATGCTTGCTAAAGGGTTGCCATATGCATTTAGATGTTAAGTACCAATTGCTGATACAAACAAAGGTGTGGCTTATGGCACTAGGAACAAACTCAGTTTTTGCAACCCCTGAGATATATATATAAATGACATACGGGGACTATTTTGGGCAGTTGTAAGTTAAGATTCTGTAAAACTGATTTCATTAATATAGATTTTACATTGAATAAAATTTTACAACTTTAAAAACATTCATTCGGTATGGTTTAACATTGAACAGTATATGTTACTGAAGTATGTAGTTTCTATTACACTTAGATTTTTTTTGTTTTTGATTGAAGGAGAAGTGTTTATTGTTTCACCAATTTGCAAAAACCAACATGCAACAGTAGTAAACTGCAACAATAATACACATCCTATTTACTATTTAGGTAAATGGGATAAAAAAATTTTAGTAGTTATAGAAGAAAACATTCACGGCAAAATTCCCTTCCATAAGTAGTTTAAAATTAAGGAAAAAGTGGATTTAAGTAAATCTAGAGTAAGCTAAAAACTTCAAATGTTGAAAAAAAATTTCAAAAAACAAATCCTGGCAGGGTTAAGCAGTGGTGATTGAAGGATAAGTGTTTATTGTCTCAACAATTTCCAAAAAATAATTTAAAAACTAATAAACCTGCATGCATAGCAAACTACAACAACCATACATATCCTATTTACTTAGGTAAATGGGATAAAACTGTTAGTAGTTATGCGGGGGAATATTCACGGCAAATTCACTTCCATAAGTAGTTTAAAGTTAGAGAGTTCAGGTAAATCTAGAGTAAGCTAAAAACTTCAAATGTTGAAGAAAATTTTTTAAAATAAAAACAAATCATGGCAGGATTAAGCAGTGGGGTATTAATCCTACCATAATTACATACATTTTGAAAAAAAAATTTCAACATTTGAAACTACATGGTTTACTCGAGATTTATCTGAATTAATTTTTTTTTAAATTTTGAAATACTTTCTAAAAAGCGTAAATATTTAATATAGAGCTTCAGACATCCGAGTTTTTTTCCCTTAAAAATTAAGATAATTATTTTAAATTAGGCATTGCCTTCGAAACTGCTCTTAATAATTTAGAAAATAAAAAAAATTCCCGTTTATCATTTAACTTTACACTTCTTTTTAGAATTCCAAGTATAATATCCCGTAATACTTCCTGGTCACTACTATTTTATAGTAGGAAAACGTGTTTAGAATGACCAATTGTGTAAACTTTTATCGAAACCTTTATACTTTTCGACACTTAAGCACCAGTAAAGAATATTCAATATTTTAACAGCCTACAGCTGTGCTAACAAAATATCATCCACTTTCCTCTTTATTTTATTTCTTACTTTTTTTTTCAATGCTCACAGGAAAGTGTGTGCACCCATATAACATCTGCTTAAAGAATAGATGGATTTTGATTATCGTAAAAGTGCTAATACATATTTAGAGACTAGGGTTAGAGCGAAATATATATAAGTGAACTTAGGTCTCTGTCGTAGTTTAGAACACGAACTACTTAATATCATATTTTTTTAAAAAAACGTTAAATTAATATTTAATCGATCCTTAATGAACAATGTAAACAAAAAAAAATTTAAGGCACAGTATTTGTCTAGTAAAATTGTACTTTTTCTTCGGAAAAATTAACACCCATTTCTTTTTTGTTCATAAGAAGCTTTGTTTTGTTCTCAGAAATGATACCCGGAACATCTTAAAATTTTTTTAAATAAAATGTCCAAATTTTTACCAGTATCTCTTTACGTATCGGATATTGCCATTAAGACTATAAATACCTGTATAAAAAGTTGTATACCTGTATAAATATTTATAAAAAGTTCTATTTTTTTCATGCACACTTTCGACTTTCCTATCTAGGGGCTATCTCAGCATGGTGAGGAATATTTTCCGATGAAAATTTGTACATTGAAATGAGTAAGATAAAATTTGAATTGGTAGGATAAATTGTTTTAAAATTATAAGGATTTTCTTTATAATAATGCAATTAAAAAAGTACATTTTATACAAAAAAATCATTTCAAATTTTGATTCATTAAACGAGAAAAAAGTTTCTCTTATCTGCCTAGCAATGTAAGATGTGTAAATAAGAGCAAGTACAAAATAGTACTTGCAGACCAAAACACTTATAACTAAACTATTATTTAGATCGCCTGGGTATTGTATTCAATTCAGCGTGAAAATTAGATCGGAAACAATATTTTACGTGCGCAGATAATCCTTATATAGTAATGCAAAGTGTGCACACATGTAGTGTGCCAAAAAAACGGACTAACCAGAATAACTTTTGATCTAATGATCAAATCTTCACGTTTTAGGGCTCAATCTTAACGGTTGGGTAGTGACCTCAAATATGCTAATCAATAACAGAATAATTAAAATTAATTTATGACAAAATAATTAATAAATCAAACACAAAAACGCACTCTGACTGAATAAATATACCTTTTTACGGATCTCATAATGTTGGCGGTGGCCATAATCTGGAGAATATGGTCACAATAGTTTAGTCAGGAGAGTAGTTCAAAATTTAAACCCCTTAGAGTTAACTTTACTTTCTGTGTATTCGAGAATATGTCGCTATATCTCGAGAACTTAAGAGAATTGAAAAATTTTTGTACATAACTATAAAATTTGTTTTTCCAAAGATAATTTCATGCAAAAAATAAATTTTAGTAAATATTTATTATTTTATTTAATAATAGTCGAAAAAAAATTTTGAATTGTAAGGTATATAATTTTTTTACATTCTTTTAAAGTATCTAATTTTGCATTGCAAAATACAACATTAGCGCGAAAGCGGTTGAATAGTTCCCGAGAAATGGAATTTTTTTCCACTATTCAATTTCTCTGGAACTATTCGACGGATTTCGCTCAAATTTTGCCATGTAAAATTATATACTTTAAAATGATGTAAAAAAATGCACAATTAAAAAAATTTTCGACTATTATTAAATAAAACTATAAAAAATCATAAACATTTACAAAAATTTATTTTTTTTGTATGGAATTACCTTTGAACAAACAAATTTTATAGCTGTGTGCAAAATTTTTCCAATTTGCTTAAATAGTTCTCGAGACATGGCGGAATACGCAAAAAGTAAAATGAACATCAAGAGGTACAAACATTGCTCCGCTCTCCTGACCAAACTATTGTGTCCAGATTGCGGCAGTCAGAAATCTGAATCCGTCAAAAAAAGGTACGTATATTCGGAGAAAGTACGTTTTTGTGTCTGCTTTTAAAACTTAAAATATCGTCTGTGGGAAACATTCTGATTGATAATAAATTCTGTTGTATGGTTAACACTCAGTCTATATATTAACACGTTCACGCCGGGAAAAGTGAAAATACTGGTAGAAGTGCTATTTCAATATTAGATAATATTAGGGAGGAGTTAATCTATTCTCAACAATAACAATTCACTGTAAGGAAATTTATCACGGCGAAGAAGCAATTCATTATAAAAATTGCATCCGTTAAAAACAATTGGTAGTTATGGATTTTTATTATTCCCGGAAAAAAACTAAAAAATGAAATTTATTNAAAATATCGGCTGCACTATTAATTAGCAAATTTGAAGTCACCACTTCGAACCATTAAAATTGAGTCATAGAACGTAAGAATCTGATTATTAGGATCAAAAGTAATTCAGAGTAGTCGGGTTTTTTTTTCTTTTGGCTCACATTACATGTCAAAAGAAACTTTTTACAGATAAAAAACTCCTGTCACTACTAGACTATTCATTCTATTCCCTCGTGTATAGTTTCATTTGATTCAGTATGAAAACAATGACTCACTTGTTTAGATAGCAATGTTAGATGTGTAAATGGGTACAAGTACACAATTTAGCGTTCATAAGCAGCTGGATAATATTGATACAATTTTAAGACTTTTACTCCTTAAGATTTTTTTCCAGTTGTGAACGAACCCTGAAATTGTACATTTTTGCACATAAAACCTTTTTAACTATTGGTCTGATCATTCCATATTCACTGGAAAAAAATACATCACTTGTCTGCATAGGAGATAAAAAATTATTTTCCCAAATCAGTCCTTTTCCATTCTCAAAAGGGTAAAGTGTTTATGGGAGTTATCTGTCATTGTTTATAATAAAATAAAATTTTCTTTGTAAAAAAAAAATTTTAGGTCTTAATTTTTCTAAAAAAACACTTTTTTTGTGCTATACTGGACTATACGTAAAATACTGCCTAAGTAACTTGTAAGTCTTAAATTTTAGATGAAAATGTTTAAATGCACAATGTTCAAATATTATGTGTTAGTAAATGCATTGACAAATTTTATTTTGGAAAATGGCTTAAATACTTATCAAATTTAGAAAGGTATGGAAAGTTCCCGTTAAAATTTGCTAGTCGGCAGGTGGGAAACATTCTGATTGATAATAAATTCTGCTGCATGGTTAACACTCAATCTATATATTAACACGTTCACGCCGGCAAAAGTGAAAATACTGGTACGGGAAAAGAGAAAATACTGGTAGAAGAACTATTTCAATATTAGATAATATTAGGGAGGAGTTAATCTATTCTCAACAATAACAATTCACTGTAAGGAAATATATCACGGCGAAGAAGCAATTCAATATAAAAATTGCATCCGTTAAAAACAATTGGTAGTTATGGATTTTTATTATTCCCGGAAAAAAATTAAATTTATTGTTACCAGTTTTTACTCCGGTGCGCTGCTAAGATGAGAATTCTAGCGTGACCCACCGGTGGGTCACCCCGGCGTGAACGTGTTAAACACCGACATTTTTTTAAAAGCCATAGGCGTCGTCGCTAATATTAACCCGATTCGAATTTCAGGTACAAATATCCCAGAAAACTGCAAGTCGCACGCTATTACCTACCTAACTACAGTTACTTTAATTTTAAATGAAATAATGGGTTCATATTATGTAACCATAAAACAAACTTTTAAGATTCTACAGAAAACATTAAATTCTTTCTTTAATTCTAATTTTAATTAGGTATACATTAAATAAATGATCGGACAAAAATTTCTGAGATACTCGGGGCCGGAAATCACTAATGTCTCCCATAAAATCAGCCTAGAGAAATCGCCACATCACACCCTTAAAATTTAAATAAATGTGAGTTAGAAATATTCTTTTCAAATTTTGAGAACATATAAAGAACAATTTAATACTTGTATTATGAAATTTATTACAAAACCAAACAGTTTTACAGTAAAGATAAAAATATGAGTTAACTTTATAACATGTTGGTCGAGTTATTTAAGAACTATATAAAGAAATATAATACATTTTACAATTTACTTTGTTTTCCTCTCTAGATTTCACGTCTTTTTCAATACATTTGTTTAGCATTCTATACATTGCAAGAGACTAAATGCTCAATTAAAGTTAAAACAATCTTTTTACAAAAGAAATATAATAAACATTACATTTTTAAGCATACAACATTCTTTAATTTTTAAATATAAACATCTTCCAGACATTTTTCGGACAAATTCATTTTTAGCATAAAATTCATTTAGTATTTACAAAGAATAAAAGAAAGATTATAAATTGTTTGTTCAAAAATACAGTTAAAACATAACTTTCTACAAAGATTGTCTTTAAAATTTACAGTAAAAGTCATGAAAAATTAAAGTTGATATAGACTGACGCAAACCCAAATAATGAAAACCTACCCATTGCAAAAAACATACACAAAATAAAACACCATCACCAAGAAACTTAATTTTTGATACTCAAAAATAAAACCCACAAGAAAAAGAAAATAAAAAAAAATAAAAAAAAAAAACACAGCTAAAGGAAAAAAAAAAAAAAACATGTATGTATATACCTGAAAGCAAACTAATCTAAACTAATTTGGCAAATGAAATTTTCGAAATAAAGAGCTCTGCATTTTAAAACCGAGCTGTAATTCAATAGTTCATATAAACAGATAGCAAAGAAATTATTTTTGCATTGAATTAAACAGAGCTGTTTTTCCAAACTTAACAGTTATTCATTAGTTTTTAATAAACAAACAGCAGTTAAATTAGTTTTATTATTATAGCAACACAACATAGTGTCTACAAGATTTTTTGTTATAAAGGAAACATTCTATTTACAGAAAGCTTTACAATTATTTTTAAAATGTTAGACATAAGCAATTTTTATATTCAATGAAGCGCAATTTCAGTAATAGAAAACATAATATGAGCTACAAAATTACACATACAATCACTTTTCTGAGGACAACATATTTATGTTGTAAAAATATATAGCTTTTAACACATTCTCTGCAAACTTTTTATACACAGTCGGTATCTGCACAACATATACCTTTTTTAATAGAACAAATATATATATATATATATATATAGACAAACCTGCATATCAATGAAGCAATACAAAAAATTTTTAACAATGTGAGCTCTGACAAATACATTTCAATACTAATCTTATATATATATTTATTTCATCACACATAACACGTTAAATCATATTATCTTGTTTTATCAGCAATATTTAATTAGCTAAAATTTATTTCAATACAAAAAATTTTTTGTTTAATGGAGAAACTAAACTTATTGATGCAAATTCATTCATAAGTTGATGTAATCAAAGGAGTTTTATTAATCACATGCAAAAAAAAAATTCATTTTAATTTAAAATACTTATGTGTTAATTCATTGTAAATTTTAATATTTTGAGTTCATCAATGATGAACGGCATTTAAAGTGAACGGTATTTTTTAGATTTCTCACCTATTAAGGCAGCATAAAGTCAGAAAAAAATATATAATATGGTGATATAATTTGAGGAAAGAAAAATTATATCACCATATTATTAACTTTTTTTTATATAGCTTGAGGAAAAAAAAATTATGTTCGGGAAAAAAAAAAACCGATTTCATTTGTTATCTAAGATATAATATCTATATTCCAATAATAAAATTTTTATTACAATAAATGTTAATAGCAAAATTAAATGGTACTTGTTCAGAAGTAAATATAACATACTACTGAAAGCAACAAAATAATCTAAAAATTTTTTTATTCCTTGTTAAATTTTAATATCAATTTTTAAAAAAAATTTTAATACTAATAATTTTAAAATAATATAATAATATTAATTTTAAAAAATAAATGAAACAGTTGTCTACTATTAGTATACTGATCAGTTGAAAATTCCTCCCAATGATGGCAAAATTAAAGTATATCTTTCTCAGGAACATGAACAACCACATTAACCAGTAACTGGATTTGTAAACTTTTGCTTCAAAAATAATTGTATAAACAACTTTACCACAAAATTTACAATACAACAAAAACTCAGTGCAAAAGTAACAAAATAGAAAAAAGAAACATGACAAAAATTTAGACAAAACAAAAACAAAAAAAAATTATTTTGTGAAGAACTTCTAGCAGCTATCTTTTAATATAAAATCTTAGTAAAAGAAAAAGCAGAACAACTTTCTCCAAAAGAATGAGAATACAAAATATTGTCAACAAAATCATTCATCTTTTTTGGAAGACTGTTGATTTGTCTGCTGAGCTGCTTCAGTGCTCTGGTCCTGGCTTGTGTCTTCTTCATCTGAGTAATCAGTGGGTTCCTCACCTGGCCTCAAGAGACGGCCAACATACTGATATTTTTCTGTTGATAAAAAAGTTTACATATCAGTCATCATAATTTTTAAAAATATCTTATCAGCTATTTTAAACAAAATAAAAAATTACTTCTTTGAATTAAAAAAATATTTATTCATAAGAAATACAATAAAATTTGAATTTACATAATTAGCCTGGTAGCAGAAATTTCAAAGTCATAGATTAGTAGCTGTAGTTCAATTATGCCGCACTAGAGCTCCACAATGGGCTATTGGCGACGATCTGGCATCGAAACATCCCTGAGGATGATCCGAAGACATGCCATCAAAATTTTGATCCCTTTCAGAGAGGGTGGCACCCCTGCTTTGGTAGCCCGACAACCTGCATGCGAAGTCGAGCACTTTACGGTAGAACAGTTTAATGAGAATCAATACCTCATATCCTTGGTCCCTATGCAAACTAATCCAAGTGGTCAGCCACACGCACACTGACCGCAGCCAGTGATGCTTGACTTTAGTGATCTGCTGGAAACCGGGTTTTAACGATCAGTCCACTTTGGGACAAGTCATAAATTAAAATGTGTTTGTGCTCATAACTCAAGCAGATACTATTACTGTCTTCTTTATTTCACTACAACCAAGAATGGGCCTTAGCCTGCCGTACAATGTTTCACAAGACAGCTTTGTCCCAGACCTTGATCTTCCAGTTGGAGTCCTCTTAAGTTTTTAAACCATTCAAAACATCATCCCTTCATCTTTTATTTGGTCTGCCCCTTGCCCTATTGCACATGGGCTTCCAATGCAAGATCTTTACCAATTGGTTGCTAGGTGATCTCTCAATATGACCAAGCTATGAAAGCCCTAATGCTTTGATGAATTTTACAATGTTTCTATGCTTGATTAGAGCGTCCAGTTCATCATTAGTTCTTATTCTTCAATAATTATTAGCTAGCTGTATTGGGCCAAAATGTTTTCTAAGTATTTTTCATTCAAAAATTAGCAAATTATTTATCTTTTTGTGTCAAAGTTCAGCCACATGTCACCATGGGACAGATGATTGTTACATACATTTTTAGTTTGATTGCTGTAGGGATCAATTAGTTTTTTAACAGATGCTGAGGTGCAAAAATAATAGGGTGTATTTGTGGAATAACATATAAGACTTATCAATCATTATAATAAGGTGTTCTGTATTGAGGGTTTGTAGAATAGAGCACAGGCTAAATAAATATGATACTAAAATAAAACATATGTTTCTAATAATATGTCACTTTTATTACAGTTCAATTAGTTCTGACTAAGAATAAGTCCCAAATAGCCTAAAAAATAAATCTTTAAAAAAAATTTAATGCACAAATTAATTGCAAACATCAAAAATAAATAAATTACACATTGTTAAAAAGTCAGACTTGCGAACTTAAGAAATTAAAAAAGCCAGAGAGTTTTGGCAACCACGACATATTACATTAATTAAAACAATAAAAAATAATTAAAACAATAAATTCAGATTCTTATAAGAAATTCTCTTACCCCTAAAAAGTAATGACTGAAACTAAGTAACCAATAGAGCATATTTTACAAACTTTATAAAAAAAATCCTTATAAACTTTTCTTCCCAGTTATCAAATTCTCTAAAGTATGTCTGACAAGGAAGAATATAATTAATTTTGGATTTTTGTTAAGTGGCTGGATATTTTCTCACAGGCATATCGCTGTAAGGCAGTGTTTCCCAAAGTGTGGTACGCGTACCCCCAGGGGTACGAGAACAGTTTAGCGGGGGTACGCGTTCTTATGCAAAATATCTTGCAACACATGAAAATTTTAAAATTTTTTTTAAAACAAAACAAGCCATGAAAATTTATGATTACATATTTTTCTATTGGCTATTTTTTGCAGAGTTAACAGTTAATAATTAGTGGTGTCAACAGCCAGTTGTGATTTTTAACTTTTGTGCATTTCTTATAGTAAAAAATGTATTTACATTATTAGGGGTACACAGCGTTACCAAAAATTTAGAAAGGGTACACAAATTTCATAAGTTTGGGAAACACTGCTGTAAGGGATAGTTAATACCACCAGCATTAACCAGGCCAACAACTGCAGGCATTCATTTTCTTGCTATTAAATTGACATTATTTTGACATCAAAAGAATGAAGATATTCTGAAGCTAGTTATTCTATTCTCAGATATATTAGCATCCTTTAAAATAAAATATTACTCTTAAAAGAGAGATGATCCGTGCACACTTTGTTAAAAATTTTATACTTTTTTTTAGGTTTATCAGCATCAAACATTGTATGTAAAGTTCAAAAAGGAATTAACGATAAACTAAACACACTCGAACTACAAAACCGCTTATCTGTAATAAGGAGTTGTCGGGTTGTATTCACAAAATCCTCCAATTCATACACTTATTTAGAAAAAAACCTGGAGAAAATATTTGGAGGCCCGAGCAAAAGCTTAATACTAAGGCCTAATGCCTGAGAGTTGGCAGGTCGGAAAAGGAGATTAAATACCACATACCTTGAAATTGGATTTCCCATTCTCTAACACTGTCCATTTGCATAGAATTAAGGTCTGAGAGATCATCATAGTCATCTTTTGGAACCTCAACTGAAAATGTAGCTAAACCACGACTTGCATCTCCGCCAGCAAATGATGCATATGGCCCACCTAGAGAAAGAATAATTTATTTTATTGCAAAGAACAATATTATTACAAGTCAAAATGAATTAAACAAAATCAGAAAAAATTTAATGTAGATCATTGTTGTTAACAAAAGTAATTAATTAACTCGAAGAGAAACAAACTTTTTTGATACTGAAAATTTGGATTTATGATAATCAAATATTTTAATAGAATAATACATATGTTTCAATAATTCTGTCAAAATAATATCAGGACTAACATTTTGAAAGGTGTACAACATAAATTTCAAAAAAAAAATATATATATATATACATATGGTCAATATCTGTCTTTTCATATGATTTCACATATTGCCAAAGTTTGTCTGTTTTGTCCCTTCTTTTTCGGATATATCACCAGATGTTATTTGCTAAGTTGGTTTTCAATAAAACAAATAGATAATACTAGCGCTTAATTTCTTTCCCGTTAAAAAAAATAGAATACAAGTCCTTAAATTAATATAAGCATTAAGTTACTAAAAAAATATGTTAGAAGTTTCAGAATCTTTTGCTTCACTAATTAAATACTTATTAGACAAAAATAAAATTCAAAATCTTGCTTTTTAAATAGTAATCATTGAAATTTTGCTCTAAATACACATACTTGACACTGCACATCATAAAGAAATAAAAAAAATATCATTTAATAACATTTTCACATTAGAAAGAACAGTAGACTCGATTATTCACAGGTGGATCTTTCACACTTCATTTTTCCTTTACAATGAAAAACAATATAGCATTTAGAATTGAAAATAAATAAATTTATTTACATTTATGTATCATTATCTTCAGAAGGAAAGAATCGTAAAATGAAATTCTGACAACTTTCAGAGTAGCTACAGCATTTAAATTATACTTGAGCTGGCTCTGGGCATTATTGAAGTGCAAATTACAATTATTTCCTAGGTGATGCAAGCTAAGTCAACCGCCAATCTAAATTTTGATGATTTTCTGACATAAATAAGCATCAATTTTTGTTTTCTTAGCAGACAACTTTTTTTTAATTGGTATTTCCCATTAGCTGGACGTAAGCGAAAAATCGCCAAATAATGTAGAATTCCGCCAAATTTTTAACAACCGTAAAGGGAATGTTTGTTTAGGGCCACGCACTCTATTCTCTGAATTCATCCAAAACAAGTTTTCCTTTGCTTCTTCCATCTTAATACTTGTTTTAAAAAAAAGATGAAAATTTGGGATTTAACCATAACTGTTTTGTATCTCTGTTTTCTGAACCTTCCGAGATCCTGCTAGCATACTTGCCAACTTTTGATCCCTTCCATTATGATTTTTCCCAGTGGTAGTAAAATGAAATTAAAATTTCAATTGTGAGCAAAAAAATATGTTGAATTTGAAATATCTTTAGCTGACAACCATGATAGTAACACATATTAATGTATAGGTTTAACTTTTTTAAGAATAGTGGTGATCAAAATCATTTAAAAAATAAGTTTATAAAAGAAAAAATAGTATATATTTACTACCACTTTAAATATTAAAATAAAATTTTACGCCAAATGCGTAAAAGTTGGCAGGTATGTGCTAGCAACTTTCCAATTTAGCGGCCTTTCATAACCCGTTCCCCTGTTTAGAACTTTTTTAAATAAAAAGAAACTTTTAATCTTAAAATTTTTTACCTCAGGTATCAAATAATAAAAGAAATAAAAGCCTATATTAAAGTTGGGACCAGCTACAGATAAGAAAAAAATCTTTAAGAAAGAGAGTGAATTGTTTTAAAGGCCACTGGATTGTAAATTAGTGCCCTGGTAATACCAGGGCACTAATTTAGAATCCAGTGGTATATTGGTATGTTGTATTATATTATCAGGGGTCTGTACAGGGCAAATTTACTACTGTTTAGTTGTACCTCCACAAATTTAACTTAAGGTGAAATGGTAGTTTTCCAGAATACTTTTAAAAAAGCAAGTTCTCAGATCCTCTCTCCCCTTTCAAAATTTGTTGTTATATTCCCATAAAAACGATAAACCCTGGGTTAATTACGCATTTTGATTTGCAATGGAACCCTCTCCCATGGACTGCTATTATGATATAGTAGAAGAACTTGCTTCCCACACAAATGCTCTCACAATGATGATAACTTTTAGTGCTACTACTGTTAAATGCCTGTTTTTATTAAATTCAAGTTGAAATTTAATGATGGACAATGATTTTTATGGATAAATCCTCGGTTAATTATGCAATTTGATTTGCAATGGAACTCTCTCCCATGGACTGCTATTATGATATAGTAGAAGAACTTGCTTCCCACACAAATGCTCTCACAATGATGATAACTTTTAGTGCTACTACTGTTAAATGCCTGTTTTTGTTAAATTCAAGTTGAAATTTAATGATGGACAATGATTTTTATGGATAAATCCTCGGTTAATTATGCAATTTGATTTGCAATGGAACTCTCTCCCATGGACTGCTATTATGATATAGTAGAAGAACTTGCTTCCCACACAAATGCTCTCACAATGATGATAACTTTTAGTGCTACTACTGTTAAATGCCTGTTTTTATTAAATTCAAGTTGAAATTTAATGATGGACAATGATTTTTATGGATAAATCCTCGGTTAATTACGCAATTTGATTTGCAACGGAACCCTCCCGCGGATTGCTATTATGATATAATAGAAGCACTCGCTTCCTCCACAAATGCTCTCATAATGAAAATAACTTTTAGTGCTAATACTGTTAAATGCCAGTTTTTATTAAATTCAAGTTGAAATTTAATCAGGAGTGATTGTGAAAGGAAGTGAAAAACCCTGAAAATTCATGAGCAGAAATTTGATAACAAGATATAAATTTATATACTATTCATATTCAATATAAATTTTTGAACTAAGATTTATAATTAAACTACCTTTCAATAAAACACACTTTTATAGTAACTAAGAAAAAATCTAGTTCTTACATGAAGAGCGATATCGGATTTTAAGAATGCAAAATCATGATATTGGATTTAGGGAGGCGATAATACAAATCGCAATATTGGATTTTTGAAAAGTGAAAATACGAATCGCAATGAATGATTTTTAGATCCTGTGAATACGACTAGGGACATTTGATTTTAAATTCAAATGAATAGGAACTGTGATATTGATTTCAAAAACATGTAAGTACAAATTGCAATGTTGGATTTTTAAATCACGTGAATACAAATAGAGATGTAAGTTTTTTAAATAGTCTGAATACGATTTACAATGAATGATTTAAATTAGGCAAATACGAAAATCGATGTTCGACATTAAAATCGCGTAAATATGAATCGCTATATTAGCAGATTAAGATGTAGTTTCAAATAATAAAAACGACAAAAATCCGACAAACCAAAACAAAATTATATACAGTGCACTCTCGATTATCCGTGCGCGGATTATCCGGTTTGCGGATTATCCGTGCTCATTCCGGAGTCACACGAAAAATATAAAGAGAAACATTTCAAAGATTAAAAAAAAATTTATTCATGATTTTATTCACTACCAAATTTTTGAAAGCAATATTCGTTAGTGGATTGAAGTATATCGAATATCAGCAGCATGGTCAAAGGTAAAATCGTCTACTTTATCACGATCTAGGAGAAAGATAATATCGCTTGATGAGCAATCTTCTTCAGATGTTCAAGAAAAATATGATAACAGTATTCTCGAACAAGCAAAAGAAATATGAGGTTTCGAAATTCTTGACGAAGAATATTTTGAAGATTGGTTTCAAAGTGATGCATGTGAGACTGACTTCCATATTTGACAGGTGAAGACATCGTTATGTTGTTAAATCAAATTGTGATGATAGTAACTGATGCAGAAGATGTAGCAAATGAGGGAAATACAATTTCTATTTCTGCTGCTCTGTGGAAATTTTATTAGATTATATGGGTACGGTGACATTACTGCGGTTCGTAAAACATGTGTAAAACATATGACGAAGACGCATTACACAATTTTTTAAAAGGAAAATTCCTAGTCTGATGTTATACAGCATGCAAATGTCAGTAATTTTTATATTCATTGTACTGATATTGATTTTTTTCTCTAATTAAAAGAGTTCTCGGATTCTCCGTGTTTTTCGATTCTCCGTGCTCCCTGTTCCGGTGATTAACCCGGATAATCGGGAGTGCACTGTATATCGAAATTTTGGAAGAATCACTTGTTTTGTTAAAGCGATTTAGCGAAGATTTCAAAATTTACATTTTAGATTGTCGAGCTTAATTCTTAATTTAAATTTTAGAGTGTGGTGAAAGTTTCGTTGGATTATAAGCTTTGATTCGCATAAGTCCGCGAATCAATAGTATTGAGTTATGCAGATTTCCGTAAAAAATCACACGCCTTGCTCCTAGTTTCTAAACCTGGACAGATGATACGAAAAACCAGGAATTCCGGGGTACACCCGGAATACAATCACCCCTGTTTAATGATGGACAATTATTTTTATGGATAAATCCTCGGTTAATTACGCAATTTGATTTGCAATAGAACCCTCCCGCGAATTGCTATTATGATATAATAGAAGAACTCGCTTCCTCCACGAATGCTCTCATAATGAAGATAACTTTTAGTGCTACTACTGATAAATGCCCGTTTTTATTAAATTCAAGTTGAAATTTAACGATGGACAACGATTTTTATGGATTTTTAAATTTAGATACAATTTTAAGCCCAAAATTTTACAATAACAAAATTGGTTTTGGCCATATGGGAAAAATATAAATAGAAATTTACTAGTCATAAATGATTTTTATTTGTAATGACAATTTCTGAATATATTTTCTTAGTTTACCATAGTTTTGTGTTGATTTTTTAATATAATTTTCACAAATTATGTCTAAATTTTCGCAAAATAGATACCTCTTAAAGAAATCTAGACAGACCCCTGATTATAAATGATGCAGCAAGAATATTGAATTTTTTTAACACACCAGTAATGTAACAGTTTTGATTATTCCTCAATCATGACTAAATTGACTTATTTAAAAAAAAATAAGGATTATTAATTATTTTTAAAAAAAAGTATTGACATTTGGCTGCTGAATATTCGGTATTCAGCAGTGTTTTTTTTTGCCGAATATTGGTATTTGGCCAAATTACTATTACTCGTTACTTCAAGAGTCTAAAAAATATAGAACGTGTTTCAAAACCAAGGGTAAGTGCTACTGCTCTGTATACTTAGTACGGATTTTTTTTTAATGTTAAGTGCCACTGCCTGTTACTAGTGTACCCTACACTATAAACACTATATCAGCTTATATCCTGACTAAGGCAAGAATTTCCTTCACTATTCATATGGAGCAGTGGCAGTGACTATGATTATAACATTTAACTATTATAAGTAAGGGATCTTGGCTTTATATATCACAGGTTTTAGCTCTGGGCCGAGAGAAAAGGAAGAGAGAAATTACCCTTTTTAAAATGCACGGTTACTTTTTCAATGGCCTTAGACTTGGTGGCAAGAGTATAACTTTCTATAGACAAACTTAACACCAATGTTTTCCATAAGGGTTATTAATTATTATGGTGGCCCACACTTTCACACAGAGTTAAATGTACCCACCTTCTCTGTCCTTTTTATAAAAATATTGACCCATTTTTATTTTTAAAAAATATGCTTTTTATTTACTTTTTAAAAAGGATTGCGGTGGCAAAAACCTGTAACTTCAGATTACGGAGAGATTTCCGTATCCTGATCTGTAGCAGAATAATCGCCAAGTCTTGGAAATTTCCGGGCAGTGGTCAGCGAGAAACTTAAAAAAAACATCACAAAAAGAGACTAACTCGAAAGGTATAACTCGTAGCCACCCCAGGGCAAACATCTACATAATTTATTTATTTTTTAAATTTGCAAGTTTAAAATCTTTTTATTTTAGCACCTTGGCGATTGTAGATTGTAGTTGGCGCGACAGATCACGATACAGATATACAGTGGCGTACGCAGAATTTTTCCAAGGGGGGTGTTCATAATTTTCTGAAGCTACTAAAAGAAATTCAAGTATGTAATAAAGCACTATTATTTCCCTAATTTGGACAGCTAGGCAGTTTTGACTTTTTATTTAGACAACATTGTTTAGTTAAATTTTGATTTGATTTTTTAAGTTTAAGAACATAATGTAATATCTTCTCGCATGTAATATCTTCTGAAAAAAATCCAATGTCATATGGGTGGGAAGTAACACTTTGAGGGCCTCTTTCACATTCATCAGATTTTGTTATGCTCGAAACGTTTTCTTCAACGGAAGTATCACATTTCTGTACAACAGAAAAACTTTCATTGTACTCCGTTCCCCCTTTTATATAATTTTACACTGCATCTCCAAAATTTTCGAATTGTCTCAAAGATGACAGAACATCTAAGATTCCAGAATCATCGCGTAAAGACCTCGCGAATGACAGCCAGTCTCCAAAACTATCGCGACTGGCAGAACAGAAAGGAACCAGTCCATAACAATATTACTTGAATTTGGTTTCAAAAGTACAACCCTATTATAGAAAATGTTTTTTGTTCAGTATTCTGAGAAATACCGTGAGAAAAAATGGTAGGCATAAGGCAAATAAAAATATATAGTCTTAAAAAATAATTCCCGCGTAATTTCTACTAAAATTTTTATTTTTACCATTTTGTCTGAGCTCAAGGGGGTGTTCAAACCCCTAAACCCCTCCCTTGCATACGCCACTGCAGATATATCCCCCAGATTATGATAACTACTACATTTTATTTTTAGGCTAAGTAAATTAACATTATTTCTCATATTTATTTAAGTATTTTTAATTCCATATTGAAGAGCACTAATCTAGCTAGATATAATTAGTAAGATTAATGCCCTTCAGAACTAAAGGTATCCTTGTTTTGAAAAATCATCTTGTCCTAGTTTATTTTTAGGAAGATCTTTGTATAAATTATCTTACATTAAAGGTCTATAATGTGACACTTGTAGATAGCATATTGGGACAGTAGAGTACCATTAACTTAGTATACATTACACAAAATTTCTGAAACACATGAATTTTTGAATGTCTCAAATCCCTATGCCTGTCACATGTTATATGTGTAGAGTGGTTGTGTAACTACCATAAAAAAATCATTTTTACAAATTGTTACAGATTTAGGTGTATAAGAAATTTTATAATTCATCAATAGCATTTAATACTTTACATTGATTTTTCTAGCGAAAAAAAAAGCTACTGCATTCCCTAAATTCTAAGAAATATTGAAACTACTCATTAAAAACATAGAGTAGCATTAAAATATAATTGATACAAATTTTCTGGGGGGGGGGATTTCCGTATCGTGATGATCTGTGGCAGAATAATCGCCAAGTCTTGGAAACTTCCGGGCAGTGGCCCGCGAGAAACTAAAAAAAACATCACAAAAAGGTACTAACTAAAAAAGGTATAACTTGAAGTCATCCCTGGGCAAACATCTGCATATTTTTTTTAAAAAATTTGCACATTTAAAATCTATTTGGCCCCTTAGCGATTATAGTTAGCGTCACAGATCACGATACGGAAATATCCCCACTTTCTGAAACTGAAAGCGATAAAAATAAATAACAGTTAATACAGTAACAAATACACTAAATTCAGTCTATACATTCTCAAGACAGTACAATGTGTTTCTATCTGTTTGTTTCCCTGTATTGTATAATAAGTACTATCAATTACAATTTTTACAGCTAGATACTATTTGATTAAAAAACTATTACAGTGACATAACTTTATGTGTCTCAAATTAAAAATGGTTCCTAATAAACAAATTTTAAAGTTGTTAACAAAATGTCAAAAATTAATGACCATATTTACCTGGTCCATAAAATCTCTTTCCTTTAGTAACATCAAATATTTTTCCATTCACCGCTACGCAAACACGTTCATCAATGACACCATTATATTTTTTTAGTTCTTGGTGTGTCATGTCTCTTTTTTTCATTGGAGGAAGAGGGGGTGGTAATGACACTGGCGAGTAAGCTTCTTCTTTTCGAGTATAAAATATTTTATACAACAAATATACACACAATGCTAAGAGAGCCAAATTGAGGGGGCTGTATACTATATCAGCAACTAAGTTGCTTAAAAAAGAAGATGTTATTTCTTCAGGAACATCTTTTGGAGTTTGCGCCATATTATAATTGGATTTTAATAACGACTAAATAGCAGAAGGTAATCAAAAAGCTATAATCAGGTACAAGTCAATAAATTAAAAGTTAAAAAACGAAGCATTCACAAATTTCATGGTGTCAACTATAAATTATGACAATATTCGCAAATCACTGTTTCGAAACACAATTATCTACTTCTGAGAGAACAACAGGAAAAATTTATCTACCGGGGTTGAGGAGAAAGATAAACAGTTCATTTGATACTTTGATTAACAGAAAGATATCATTAGTTTTTAACGTTACTTCAGTTTTTTTATTTGATATTATTAAAGATTTATTTTGATACGTAGTAACATCATTACAAGATAACGTTTCCTTTTTCTTTTAATAAATACACTGATACAGATCGCATCGATTCGAATTCTTCGTTCACTGTAACTTGCCTCATTTTTTTAATTATTGAGGTATGGCATCGGTTTACTTTCAAAACTCTTCTGTCATTTGGGTGTCAATTTTGAGGGCAGAAGCAATTTTCCATTTTCAGAACAGCCACTCCCCCCCCCCAAAAAAAAGAAATATTATTAATAATAGCATTTTCATAGACCTTAAAATAATAATTTTGAAAACTGAAGCTCGTTGCTTCTAAATTTTTAGGTCCCCGTGGACTGATCGTTAAGACACGGTTCCCAGCAGATCACCGAAGTCAAGCATCACTGACTGCGGTCAATGTGCTGGTGGATAACCACTTGGATCATCAGTCTGAGTAGGGACCGACGGTGTGCGGTATTGGTCCTCGATAGACTGTTCTACCGTAAAGTGCTCGACTTCGCGCACAGGTCGTCGCGCTACCGAAGCGGGGGTGACATCCCCTCTGCAGAGGATCAAAATTGTGATGGCATGTCCTCGGATCATCCTCAGGGATGTTTCCCAGACCGTCGCCAATAGTCCATTGTGCAGCTCTAGTGCGACGTAAATGAACTACAACAACAAATCTAAATTTTTAGTAGTAGTACTACTTACATCGCACCACCACAATTCTGATGCTCTGTAGAGGGGATGGTTCCCCAACTTTTGTAGATCGATCCCCTACGCATGAAGTTGAGGTAGTCGTGAATGATAACAGTTTAACGAGGACTGATACAGCACACCCTCGGTCCTTTCGTCGGCCGATCAGCGTGGTCATCTATTCGCTCACAGTTCGTGATGCTTGCCTTCGGTGTTCTACTGGGTACTGTGTCTTTACAATTAGTTCGCAGTGGAATTTAACTTTCTTGAAAAAGGAAAACTTATTTCATTTAAATAAAAACAGTAAAATAAAAGTATAACATGCAAAAAACTAATGATCAGTAAAAATGATATCTAATCAGTCTGCAACTCTGTGAAACTTAACTTGGAATCAGATTTATCCCTCAACTCATCAGTCTGCAACTCTGTGAAACTTAACTTGGAATCAGATTTATCCCTGCGAAACTAGCATTAATGCATTTTGTATCAGAAAGCACTTTTTAATAGTTTGCCTATGTTTTGTTTGCCTTTAAGCAATTTCTCTATAAAAAAATATTGAAAAAATTGTTATTATATTCCTATCTTTTCTTGTAAATTATTATAAATAGAGAGAAGTGAGACAATTACAAAAGTTTTATACGGACTAATTAACTTTTATATGTATATGCTGGCCATAAGGGCTGAACACTTTTTTACCCCCTGAATAATTAATAGCCTGGAAACCGACCCATTCACAAAATGATTGTAAGTTAAGCAAAAATTATTGTAGCGTTTGTTAAAATTTTAGCTTTATTTTTTAAAAGAATCTCTTTTTTCTTTTCTTTCTTCCTTTTTTTTTTTTTTTTTTTTTTTTTTTTTTTTTTTTTTNATGCTTAAAATCCTTGCGTAATTTTTTCCATCCAATAAATAACAGTAGAAATATTTAGTAGAGAAAATAGTGAAAGAAGAGAGAAGAGTAATGCAATATTTAGTTTTAGGAGTGATATACTTATTTTTTTGATATCAGGTGAACGAGCACTACCGGAGATCAAAGGAGACCAATGTCACGGGACAAGAGTCTCTAGAGAGTTACAATGGTTGGAAAAAATATCCGGTTTATTCACTGCAATCAACCAGGTTTTTATCGAAAATTCAATTTTGAAAATTACTGATTTTTTATTCCCAAAAATTTAAATTGGTATTGAAATCAATACATTCGCATATTACTGGGAGTAGCAAAAGCCTTTTGCAAGAAGCATTATATAGTTAATAAGTACATAAACTTGTTTTTAAAAGTCTTTTTGTTAGTATATTTTGAAAAATAACTTTCATATTTATGTCTTTTTTTTTAACATTTCAAGATAGCAATTTATAAATATGAGTTTATTTGTATCTCGCCCCGTCCTATTTTAGGGCATACGAGAGTAGATACATACACAAAGCACACATTAAAAATACGTAAATCTCTAAAAGTTACATCAACAGTGAGTATAAAAATCAGAATATCTAAAATAATGTTCAATACAAATAATATAAATTTATAAATATAAATAATTTTATTTTTTTATAATCTTATCAATTATTTCAGCTAATATTTTTCGAAAAATGCTTAATTTCTAGGTAATAATACTATGTAATTTCTTTAAATAAATTTATAAAGTTAAAAATGTTGAATTTAAATTTGATTTTATACAAACTGCTAAAAATTATTTAAATAAAATATTTAGAAAAAAAACATATTGAGGTACAAACTACTCGAATGAAATTGTTACCTTTTTTTATATATTGCGGCTGTTATATTATATTTCATACAATAATCTCTCTATTCATATCCGAAATAAGCCAATTTTGTTTTTACCCTCAAACTTCTCAATTTTCTAAGAATATCTTCAGGTCATAAAAGTCTTGTTATCTATGAGTAATGAATTGCCTTCTGAAGACAACATACGATTCAACTACAATTTTTTTCACTGTATATAATCGATAGTCAACTTACATCTTCAGAAAAAAATGTAATTCCTTGTGTTTATTTTTTCAATTAAAATTTAGTTTATGTATTTAAGCACACAAATTACCAAAATAATGAGGCAAAAGTGATATATGTTGTTAAATCTATATTTATGGCTCTCTAAAACATTTTTGGAAGCCAGTCCCAGCTAGTATGAGTATAAAGTAAAAAGCAAAATAAAACAAAATATCGGGACAATATCATAATAATATCGATCGTCTATAGCAGGGGTGGCCAACCTGCGGCTCGCGAACCACATGCGGCTCTTTGAAGGATTATTTGTGGCTCTCGATAAATGCACCCGAGTTCCCTTTTCATTTTTGTGCTATATTTTAAAAAAAAATTATTATCATTCCGTATGTGTTCGAAATGTCTTTTAAATTACTGAGAACAAATATGAAAGACTAAATGCAACGTTGTTCAATTCAAGGTGAGTTTTCCATTTCCAATATAATTATGACCCAAAATGCACCTGGAGAATTAGAATTAATAGAGATGCAAGAAGATCAAGCTCTACAATTTAAAAATAAGTCGACGTCGATTACTGAATTTTGGAAATTTGTACCAGAATCGAAGTATCCTGAATTAAAAAAGTCTGCTTGTCGAATTATTTCAATATTCAGAATAACGCACTTATGTGAATCATTTTATTCCACTTTAAAATTCGTGAAATCCAAACACCGATCAGTATTAACTAACCAGCATCTCAAAGAATTACTGAGAAGTGCTGTCGCGAGTTATACACCAAATTTTAAATAATTATCAGGAAGTAAAATAAATACGTTTAATTTTTAATATTTAAATTCAATACACATATTTTGTACACTTACTTATACGTTTTTAATAAATATAATTTATGTTAAAAAAAAAAAATTTGAATACCTTTTTCGCCTACCTTTTAAATACGTATTTAATTGCGGCTCGTGAAAAATTTCAAAATTTGGAAAATGGCTCGACTATCAAGGAGCTTGGCCACCCCTGGTCTATTGCAATATCTATCTGATTTCATTAAGATATTGTATAAATATTTGTGTTCCTAAGGAAGTTTGAAACAAACGAGCTTCAAGAGAAAACATGTCTTCATAATATTCAAATTAAAATCTAAAAATTGGTATGAAATATAATAATTTAATAAAAGGGAGTAATAAACGAAATTTAAAAGTGCATATTTGTTGTTTTATGTAAGAGTTTCTTAATCAACACGTACTGAAATTGATGATCATCGACTTGAAACGGAGAGGGCGATTGTCAACAATCACATAGTCGCCTTGGTAAAAGTCCGAAACATAAACTAGGTCTGATTTCATAAAAATTTATTCATCGATATTTAAATATTTATTCGATATTTTACTGTCCAATTTGGATTGGTTAGGAAAAACATTAGTGTTGAGGATACTGGGCAGGTATGAGGATAAATAGCAAGTATATTCTAGCCTCATGTTTTTTAAGATTAAAAATCTTCTTTTTTTTTCTTTTTTTATTACCTATTGGTAAAATGGGTCTTGGTTTGGATTTCATGGCGTCCTCACTTTTCATCTACAATAATCAAGAGTAATAGTAAACAGAGCGCATGCGTTACTATGGCGACCGCTGCTGTTAGATAATTTTTTTAGAATTCTTTACTTTTTCACTTTTGATTTTGTTATGCATTAAGTTGGTGGGTTTATTTTTGAGATATGGAACCAGAGAGATCCCATAAATACTTCTTGAGATGTGAATGAAAGAGAATTTCATCATTTGAACGATATTTTTGTTTTTATTGTTCTAATTAAGAATCAGAAATTCTAACCTACAGATCACGCTGGATCATTTTCAATACTAATTCAAGTGAATATCGCAAATAAAGTGGGTCCAAACTGATTTACACGGTCCCAAAAAGTTAGAGTTGAAGCAAGAAAAAAACGATGCCTAGGCCTAAACTTACGGAGGCTAGAAAAGCCAAAAAACGTAGACGGGAGTGCCTTAAACGTTACACACAAGCGGAAAAAAGAAAGAACTCCGTTCGCAAACGCAAGCATTAAGCACGTCCATCACAAAAGTACCAAAGTGGTTGAGAGAATTGAACCCTACCGAAGAGCGAATGGTGATTCTCCGAACCCCTTTCATGCAAATACGCGAACTGGATGTTGATCACCAGTAAGGGATAAAAGGATTCATTTTCAACATACCCAATAACTTGCACAAGACCGTAGACTATCTTCCACGCAATCTAAATGATTCATCCACTATTCATGTAAAATTGAAAAAAAAGCCTAGTTTTCAAATCATATTTCATGTATGAAGTTGTGAATCTGAAACGGGTGCATCATGCAGCTTGCAATTTCCATCAAACACCATTGTACCAATCCGAAAATGTTAATACTGATCTCGATTGACTGTTCAATGTCTATTCTGTCACCAAAAGAATTTACACAGAATGTGTCTGAGCTGCATTTAAAATATGTCTTCG